GTATTTTGGCTTTGTGTTCCATTTTCTTTCTTCTTTCCTTTCATATTCTTTCTATCTCTTTCATACATGCTTTATTCTACCTATCACTAATACTAATTTCTTAATCTTTCTTTTCCTTTCCTTTCCTTTCCTTTGACCTTTTTCTTATCATCCTTATCTATTTTTTCTTTTCTTTTCTTTTCATACAGGGTCTCACTCTGTCACCTGGCTCGAGTGTAGTGGATCAATCATAGCTTACTGCAACCTCAAACTCCTGAGCTCAAGCAATCCTCCCTCAGCCTCCCTGAGTAGCTATGACTACTGGCACCTGCCACCACACTCAGCTAATATATGTGTGTGTGTGTGTATGTGTGTGTGTATTTTTTAATAGAGACAAGGTCTTACTATTGCCCAGGTTGATCTTGAATTCCTGGGCTCAAGCAATCCTCCTGTCTCAGCCTCCTAACTAGGATTATATGTGTGAGCCACTGCCCCTGGCCAGCCTGACTGCCTTTGAACTTCAAAATTAGTTTTGTCCTGTCTTCCAACTTTAACTGGTACATCAGTTCTTCCTGGGTCTTGAGCCTGCCAGCCTTTAGACTAGAAATATACCATCAACTCTTCTCGTGCTTTTTAGGCCTCTGGACTGAGACTGGAACTATACTGTCGGCTCTCCTGGGTCTCCAGCTTGCCAATTCACTCTGCAATCTTGGGGCTTCTCAACTTCCAGAATCACGTGAGCCAATTCCTTATAATAAATCTCTCTTGCTTTCTCTCTCCCTCTCTCTCGCTCATGTGTATATATGAGAGAGCTATGCACTACATAACGACATTTCAGTCAGTGACAGACTTCATATATAGTGGTCCCATAAGATTATAATACCATATTTTCACTGTACTTTCTCTATGTTTAGATATATAACTACTTAGCATTATGGTATAATCACCTACAGTATTCAATATAGTAATATGCTGTACAGGTTTGTGGCCTGGAAGCAATAGGTTATATCATATAGCCTAGTTGTGTAGTAGTTTCTATCGCATACATTCATGTAAGTACACTCTATGATGTTCTCACAACAAAATCGCCTAATTACACATTTCTCAGAACATATCCCCATAGTTAAGTGATGCATGACTGTATATATACACACCCCCTAAATTGGTTTGGTTTCTCTGGAGAACCCTAACTAATATAGAGACCATCTAAAGAGACAAGTTCACAGTTAAATGATGCACTGAGCATAATGCATTACATATACTGGTCATTCAATACAATGTAGTTATCCTCAATTATTAAAAGTTCATTTAGGGCCAATCATTCTTTTTTTTTAAATTTTAAATAATGAGATAATATCCAAGTACTAACCAGGCCCAACCCTGCTTAGCTTCCGAGATTGGGCGTGTTCACGGTGGTATGGCCATAGACCTGCCACTCGGGTCAATCATTCTTAAATTGAGGTTAGAAGTTAGATCTTCATGTCCCGTGCTAGATATTGGAAATAATTAATCAGACAGGATCTCAGTCCTTAAGGAACTCAACCAAATATGGGTTAGAGGGCTGGGTGCAATGGCTCATGCGTTGAAAGGCCCAGGTGGGAGGATTGCTTGAGGTCAGGGGTTTGAAACCAGCCTGAGCAACATAGTGAGACCCCATCTCTACAAAAAATTTTAGAAATTACCCAGACATGGTGGTGTACACCTATAGTCCTAGCTATTTAGGAGGCTAAGGCAAGAGGATTGATTGAGCCCATGAGTTTGAGACTGCAGTGAGCTATATAATTGGACCACTGCACTCTAACCTGAGCAAGAGTGAGACCTTGTCTCAAAAAAAAAAAAAAAAAAAAAGCTATTGAGATTTTAGAAGTGAAATTTCAAATAGGAAAAGAAATAAATATCTATCCAGAAGTACTTAGTATGTATCAGATCAGGTCTTTTCGAATGTATGGGCTAGTCCAATCCTCCCAATAATCCTGTGAGGCTGAGGATCATGACATCCATTTCATAGATGAGGAACAGAGACAAGAAGAAGGTACCTAGTTAATACATAGTCATGATATAAATGGTAAGCTGTCTCATTTCAGTGCCTGTGCTCCTTTTGTTCCATAGGTCTGTTGGTATAGGTTTGCAACAGGGCAGATTGGCTAGGTCAGAGTCTTTCCTTGCCTAGTCCAGGTGAAATGCAAATCCCTCTTTGTGTTGTTCATAGACTCTGTGGAGTAGGGGAGGTGAAGTGAAAAGGAAAAGTTAGGAAGGAAGGGGACAGTTGTTTGTATGAAGGTACAAGGATTCCCAAGATAACTAGGATATCTTAAAATATCAGGAATCCAGAACCAAAAGGGAGGTGAAATCAACATATAGAGATGTAAATGCACCTTTTCAATATCCATGAATGTGTTGAGATGGGTGTTATTGTTGCCAAGATCTGCTGATGATGTTATGTGTTGTAAAGGAATATGAGTTTACTGGGCTTCCCCTTTTATATAGATGTAACCAGAAGTCTTTGCATATCCATCATTCTGTGGCTTCTCTGACTTACTTTGTCTCCAGCCTCTAAAAACCAAGACCTCCCTTGGGGAAATCAAGACAGCTCAACACAGGCCACTTTCCAGATCCCAAGGCTCTTGCATTTTTACTTCATCCTTCTGTAGACTCTGAGGTCTCCAAGGTCAAGGATATACTTTATTCATCTTTGTATCTCCAGCGTCTAGTCTGGGCCCTGGCCTATGGTAATATGCATCTGGCAAACTGAATTGAAAGCTTCCTCTTTTTCTTTATCCTTTCTCCTACCTATAACCCATCTCTATAATTATATTTCTTGTGTGCATCTTCACAAACGGCATAGTAGACACAGTGGAATGGGAGAATGTGCATAGAACAGGGCTCATATTGATTCCTGTCTCTGCCATTTATTCACTGTGTGGTTTTGAAAAAGAGAGTCGTGACAGAGACTTCCAAGTTTGGCTGAAATGTAGATATAGAGAAAAAAAATGGTGAAAAAGAGATTAGAAAGGCAGGATAGAGTCAAATTATAAAATGCTAGGCCAAAGGTT